CTACTTTTTTCTGCTTCTCCAAAACTGCTTCTGCTTCTCCTCAAAAGTACTTTTTTTCCTTCCAAAAGCTTGGTCGAACACATCAATATTTTCCCAAAAGTGCTTTTGGCCAAAAAAAAAAGCACTTCTGGCCAAAACGAAGCTTGGCCAAACAGGCTATTAAACTTAATGATTGATCTTAAGACCAGAAATGTGTACAAGTTAGGTGTATTGTTAGAAGATGTCAAATAAAAAAAGCAAAGCTAGTAAAACAGGCTGTGTTGGGACATTTACATCACGTCAAGTGTTTGACAAAAATCATTTTTGTTTGTTTATAGATTTGTAAATTAGTATAGAGAAACGTGTGAGGTGTAAATTACCTTCGGTATTATTGAATAATGGAATGAAAATTGTCTAAATCATGTCGAATGGATACAACGGTGCCATACAACAATCCCAACTAATATGGAATTGGGGTGCAGTTCTTGCATATCAACAATTGTCTGCCCTCCAAATCACTAAGAAAAAAAAAATAGTTGTCACTTTTCTTCCATTCCAACACGAACCCTCATCTACATGGCTACGTAACATCTTTCTAAGACCCTCCAAAATAAAACCGACTTCGAATATCTACATCACTGAGGTTCTCCATCGAATTTCTGGCTTCTTCCACCCACGTCGCCGATATTTCCCATGTCGGAACCATGTATATACTTCATGCAGCTACGTCGATTGTGGCTGGAACCGACTTTTTCATCCATCTCACATAATCTAGCCCACCACAAATGCAATTTGTGCCTTGTCTCTACATCTAGCTCCATAATCCTCCATAATAGTCACCAATGATCTTAAAGCATTTTCCACCACAGATGTAGTTGACGACGACAAAGTGTAGTCCACACATGCTTAACCTATAAATTCCTACTCGCTAAATGCCGCTACCCATGCCCATCAGTCAAACAACAGTTTTTTTTTATGAAGTACGATTTAAAGTTAAATAACAGTTTGTGCCTCCTCTAATGTCGTTCTCCTGCATTAAATATATGAGCCGCCTCTTCTATTTCAGACAACTTTTGACAGCAAGAAAAACATTCTCTCCATCCTATTTTTGTACAAAGACGGTTCATTCAGATGTCTCATTGTCATATACTAGGCTTAAGTTATTGTGAATCAAATCTTCAGCAATAACTGCAATCATAAGCAAAACTGCAATAGAAAAATAGTCCAGGTAACACAGAGTGAATCAGACCATTCTAAAAAGGAAATAAAAACTCGGAATATGTTGAAGATTGATCTCTGAGAATTGCGGTGATCTAAAGAGGTGGGTTAGACAGCTTGAGAGTTTTCAGAAACACTTGAAGAGATGGTCTAGTTGGATGAGGTCAGTATGACAGAGGAAGTGTAGTTTTCAGAAACACTTGAACGGAAAGTCTAGGTGGATGATGATGATCGCAGAAGATGCCTATGTCATAACTGAGGTTGGTTGGATAAGGGTTCCTTGTGGGTCTTTAAGTAAATCTTAAACTTTCAGCTAAGAGTCTCCTCGCCCCGACAAGGTCTCTCTCCAAATAGTTTTCACTATATTGATTCTTAAGACACCCGGGACATCTGTATCTCAGGGTTTGGATATTTCAGTCGATCTTCAGTCAGAGGGATATCACCTATTATAACTTGCAATTATTTTACAATCTCAGCAAGTGTATGTCAACAATGTTTTACGTCGTTTGACAAATTTTAAGGCTTCCTTCGACATTCTTCAAGGTTCTAGGTTTGATATGCTTCAAGCTTCTTCGTTTTTTTATTTATTCATGAAGTAAGTAGGATATCATTAACAAAGGCATCAAGAAGATGCAAGGATTAGAAAAGAAGGAAATTCTCAGCCAACAAAAAGACAAAAAAGACTAACAATAAGCTTCTTTGGTTTTCTTGACGTAACAAATCAGTATTCAGTAGCAGTCCACAAGTTGGGTAATTAACTTGACAGTTCAATAACTTTGGTGTATGAATGCCATATCAGAATACATCTATGCATTAGTGGTTGAACAAAGCATGGAGTGATCTTTATTCTTCAATTTATAGAAAACTACAGCATTGTGCAATTAACCGATTTAACTTCAAATCTTCAATCTATACATATTTTTTGCAAAGGTAATATAGCACATATAAAGCACAAATGCAAGTATAGACACGCATACCAAGTCAAGCAACTCGACTGGAAGATGCATATCCATATTTCATAAAATCTAGCGCACTGGAAGCTCAACAATTGAGCATGCAGTCAAGCTCAACAGTGGCATCCAGTCCCCACTTAGCATAGGAGAAACAACAAGTTTTTGACATTAAGCAATCTCATTGAACCCACAAAACTTTTGACTATAACCCATCTACGATGATGCAAAGCTTTAAAGGTCGACATAGAAACACAATCGTAAAAAAGGATATTTTTAAGAATAAATACATGTTTCTTCACACTACAAAGCCCTCTCATGAAAACTATCATTCCATCTGTATTCATGATTGCTACTTATTGCAAGAGTTTAGAACGAAGAGGGAAAAATCAGGGCACCATTCCATGGAGCAAACAATGAGCAGTCATATTATATACCATCAAGAAAAAGAATTACACCACGAAAATACAAACTTGAACAATACTTACATTTCACGAATGGAATTGAAATAGATGGCACTCTCATTTAGGATGAGTGACAAAAATGACATTAGTGCATAAACCTGTCAAGGAGACAAGGAGAATTTCAAAAAGTAAAAGAGTTGGAACATAGCTATAAATTCGCACAATGTAATATACAGCCCAGAGTCAAGCTAGTTTTGAAAACATATTTGTCATGGTCATACATAAAAAATTTGCATTCTCATGTTATTAACAAAAATTAACACCATAAAAACCAGACTTGAGCAAATACACCTGATATCAAGATCCATAAAGATTCATAACTCTAATATTCACCAACCTGTTGGGGTACATTCAATGCATGTGTTTTCTTTAATTTAGTTTTACTTAGTATTATCTAAGACAAAAAATTATAAAATTCTACTAGGATTGTGAAAATTGCAGTTGCAAAATGTAACCATCATTGTGAAAATAGCCTAGAACGCAGGGGTTTTTATTTATTAGTCAATGCAAATTGTTGATACAAGTCATAGGACAATTGCACATTTGAGCACCGCATCCCGATTTTAACCTCCAATTATAGACACCTTTGAAACTAGTTCTTCCATTAATGGACAATGATCTACAAACTTAACAACATTAAGTGACAATGAATTTGAAATCCCTACATGCACATATTTCCTCCTACTTCAATTTTTAACTAATACCACAGTTTCTCATTTTCTATATCTTCTACACCAGCTTTCCCAGATTAAACTCACCGACTTCCCAATTTAGTTCCTGTCAGAATTTGTGGACATCCTACCCTCCAGTAGGATGACAACTCTTTTAAGTTTTATCTAATATCAACAAAATGGCAGTATGAACCCATTCTAAAATCAACTTGATCCCTACTTCTGGACCTACAAAATTTTATTTTTAAATACAATGAGGTCTATTGGTCGAGCTGAGCGTCTATCGGAAACAGCCTATCTACTTTCATTAAGTAGGGGTAAGGTCTGCGGACACACTACCCTCCCCATACCCCACTTGATGGGATTATACTGGTTTTTTTGTTGTTGTTGTTGTAATGAGGTCTATTGGTCATCTTATACCTACATACAGCCAAATGAATTAACTTGCAGCGGTTTAATCAACTTTTTTAAGATTGTTTTTTGAAAAGAAGTGCATGTTGCATGCAAAAGGAAAATATGTTTGGATAGTCGTAATCTTTGAAGATTATGAGTATTTAGTGAGTAGAATAACTACTCAAACCACGTCATCAAAGAAATACAATTTTTTTTTGGATAACCTTGGTATCAAAGCCCAAATTCTTAAAATCTTTTTTTGCAAAAACTTCTTTAGGAAACATAAACAAACAAGTTTTGATTATGCAGATGATCAAATACAGCAAGTAGTCTATAATATTACATTTGCAGGTTTGACAGGGAAGAAGAATAAAGGCCAAGAGAGAGAGACTCACAGGAACCATAAAGATGATGCGGACAATGTATCGTTGATAAGTAGGCTCAGTGTAATTCAAAAGATGTCTGTATATGTGCAAAAGCGCCAGTCCAATGGCACCAACGGTGCAAGGCAATGCAATGAGGATATAGTATATGGGCGCCATTTGTTCAGCAGGCTACCAAAAATCAAACATAAACACCCTTCTCTGAAACTTTAGAAATACAACCAAATCAGTAAAATTGAGACAATTTATGAAATTAATAGATAAATAAATCCAATAAAATGGGGAAAAAACAAAGAATCCACTTACAGAACTAAAGAAAGAGCTCAAAAACCCCTATAGCTGAGAACTTCTCTGCTTCACCAAAGAGAAGAAACTGTTGATATAATTCAAGACTTGGGCTTGTTTAACTTTAATTGGATGTACACCGACCTCGGGACATCAGGAAACCCTAATTCAATACAAATGTTAAGATTTAACTTATCAACAAAAGTGTAATTCGATAAAAATGTACATAATTCATTTAATGATCAAAGAAATTAAACAAAACTTCAAATTCCAACTGGGGTTTTCCCTATATAAAAAAGAGAATGGGTATGTTCGCGAAATATTTTAAAAAATATAGAAATGGGTTAAGCAATACTCACCTTATCGATGCAATCGGGGGGGAAAGATATTAAAGAAGTGCGCAAAACTGGGTCATTGGGGAATTATCAGAGAAAGTGAAAGTTCAACGAAGACGATGGAACTAAATAGATCTGCGATTTAATAAATCAAAAGAAAAAAAAAGGTTTGGCCAAAGCGTTGTAAGTGAATTGTGGGGGCTTGTGGGACAAAGGGAAGCAATAATGGCGGCTTCACGGAGAGACGTATTTTATTGCTGGAATTGGAAAACAGATATCGCTTCAACAAAACTTGCCAGCAAAGGATAAAATCTTTTTCCTTCATTTTTCTTTTTCTTAACTGTAATTCTTCGTAAAAAGAGACAGGTGGCATTCAATTTTGTATTTAAGAGATATTCGTTGAGTTGTCTCTGATTCCACTATTCAAATAATTAAATCAATTATTAACAATCACTAATCATTAGTAACATATTTTTTCTTTTATTTTTTTAATTTTGGTTCCCAATCATATTCGAAATTCAACACTTGCTTTTTACTCTATTTGAATTGCAAGTATAAGTATAGAATTTGGGGAAATACATTTTATATTTTTTTAGAATAAAAGGAGATAAAATGGTAAGTACAGAATTGGACTTGACTTTTTCCATTGATAAATTTGCACTATGCATCATTATTCTTGTAATTGGTCGGTCAAACTACAAGGATTATGTTTTCTTCTTAAATCTAAGAAAAAGATAATATCTGTGAAACCATTAGAACTGCCTACTATAATTGTGTAGCAATTTTAAGAGCAGACTATTTGTATAAAAACAAGATACAGAAGATTGTAATTTTTCATACACAAAGATGTGCATAGGAAAAAGTGATTCCAAACTTGACAATCATGTAAAATCAGCTTTCACTATTTTCCTTTGGAAATGAAGAATGAGCATTCATACGTGAGAAAGATACAGAATAAGCTTTTTGGGGAAGTGGTAATAAAGATAGGTTTTAAAAAAGTTACAGATGGGATTTTTAGTAGGTGCGTTCTTTGATAAGATAAAATAAATAAGAAACATAGCATCAGTATAAAACTACTAACTGTTAAAACTAATTCTGTGTTCAACGAGGAAGACAAGCTAAAAGGTCAAAGACGAGTTGAGCTAATCAATTGGACATTCTCAAATATTTTTCTAACATTCTAGAACTTGTCGCAAGGGGCGGATGTTGTGTGCTAGTTATGAGTTCAACTGAATTCATAACTCTCGATGCGGAATAAAATCTTTTGGGTCTAAATTTATTAAAACTGCAAAAATAATAGATATGACTCATAACATTAAAAATATAATGAATTTTGATGCTTAATACCCTTTTGTTATCACGGGATAACATCACAATCCTGTTTGATTCTGACACTTCCTTTCTTATTATTTTTTCCAAAGCACAGCTTACTATATCAATACAAAAATACAGATGACACTAAGATTTATAGACCATCTTATTTGGTAAAGGTCGAAAATGTCTCTTTAGAGAAGAGGTAGGACACAAAGACAGAACATGCTAGGCGAGTATCAATTGTACACTACTACTTTTTCTTCTTTTCTTTTCCCTTTGGTGGTAAATTTCTGATAGAAGAGCAAAGACCCTCGTATTACTACTGGTCTGTGACAGCTGCATGTTTAGGATGTGAAAAAACAAAGGTTTTTTCAAAATAAATTCATTAGAAAAATCCCGTAGGCCTTAAAGAAGGGAAAAGGGTAGCAGAAGCACCAAAGACTAGAAGAGGGCCACTTTATAGGCCTTAAAGAAGGCCACTTTATAGGCCTTAAAGAAGGCCACTTTATAGGATTATAATCCACAGACTCTGTTCATCGCTCTGGTTGAACACTACTCGCAGAATAGGAAGGCACTGTTATTAGCCAGAGGTTAACTATCAGATCTCCTGAATGTGAATTAGGGTGTTGTATACGGTTAAAACCGGGTGAAAGTATTGGTTTATGTTTAGTCAACAATGACATGTCAATTGGAAGAGTTGGTGTAGATGCTAGGAGGAAGCTTCTTCCTTTGATGTCATCCATGACATCAAGAGGAGGTAGTTTGATGTCACCAATGACATCAAGAGGAGACATTTACCTCTATAAATAGATGCAGTCCTTCATTTGTAGAAATCATCCCAAAAATAATACAATACATTGTAGTGAGTAGAGAGTTAAGAGAGAAATTTTCTTAAGTGTAATTGGGAAATCTCCCCTTCCTTTGTTAATATTAAAAAGGCAACTGTTCTTTGGTGAACGTAGGATTATTTTGATCCGAACCACGTTAAATCTTGTGTTCTTTCTTTTACGTTTTCGCTAACATTGGTATCAGAGCGACCAGATTCTTTAACGATCCAAGGAGGAAGAACAAGCAAAGATGAGTTCCATGAAGTTTGAAATTGATAGATTCAGTAGACGCAACAACTTCAATATCCGGAAGATCCAGATGATGGCATTACTGCGGAGGGAAAGTTCAATCCATGCTATTGACGGAAAGTATCCTAAGGATATATCATCTCCTGACAAGGAAAAGATTGAAGGGGATGCATTGAGTGCAATCCAACTATCCCTTGCACCTAACATGCTTTGTGAAGTGAGTACGGATACCGAAGAGACGACCAAACAGTTATGGGAAAAGCAAGAAGGGCTATACCAAGACCGATCAGTGACAACAAGGATGTTGTTACAACAGCGTCTTCACACATTTAAGATGGGGTCAGGTACTTCGTTACAAGATCACTTAGATGCGTTCAATAAACTTGTCATCGACTTATAGATTGCAGGAATTAAAAAGGAGGAGGAGACGCTTGCATGTGCTTTGCTATTTTCATTGACTTCAGGATATCGTGATATTGAGAATTCAATGATGTATAGCAAGGAGCCTATCAAGCTTGAGCAAGTGCG